TAGAAGGGAAGAAAGGAAGATGTTCCACCTTGACAACAAGGAAATGAAGTCCTGGTCCAGTGGTCCCCTCATGGTCATCCCACAGCCAGGACACAGCACAGGTGGTGCTCCACTATCAGACCCAAGTCTCGAAACCTCCTCCTGCCCCTGCCTCTGGGTCCTGGGGACTCCCCCAACTTCCTAACCCTTTTCATGGTCTTCCTCACATGTAAGATCTTTCTCTCCCTATCGGGCTTCCTCAGAAGCCCATACACTCTCCCCAGGTCCCACCATCCTCATAGCTCTGAAAACAGGGGAGAAGGGAGAGCAAGGAAAGATGTTAAGAAAGACGGATGGGGAAGGGAAAAAAAGTGACTGGGCAGGGCAAGGGAGAAGAGGAGGGGAGGGAGGTGCAGGGGAGATGGAGGAGGGAGGAGGAGAGGGGGAGGGAGGAAGGAAGGACTGCAAGAGAGACAGAGAGGAGGACAAAGGAGGTACCACCCAAAACCAGACCAAGATCACTCCTTCTTTTTCAAATCAGCACTTTCCCATAACTCTTCCCACCAAGTTCTGCTTGCGGGACCCCAGGGAAGTAAATAGTTTCAGAAACCCCAGTTGCACTTTGCATCTTCACTGAAAAACAGATAAATCAGAAAAAGCCTGTTTTTTAATGATATGTTCAAGGGTGTGGACAGAGAGGAGGAAAAAATAATCTTGGCCTCCCGCCTTTTTTTTTAAGGTTTTCGTAGTTTCCTGTTAATTTAATACCTGAACCTTTGACATGTAAATAACACAGGTAAAGATCAACTTCGCCGGCCCTGGACTCCGACCTTTGTTTAACACCCACCCTCTCTCTGATTAATCCTCCATCCCATCCCTGGAAGGTTGGGAATTGTTACCTGTAAATTTAATACCCAAGAATCAATAGCTTGAGGCACAGCACATTGGTTTTATTTTTATTTTTTAAAGATTTTATTTATTTATTTCCGAGAGACACACACAGAGAGAGGCAGAGACACAGGCAGAAGGAGAAGCAGGCTCTGTATAGGGAACCTGACGTGGGACTCGATCCTGGGACTCCAGGATCACGCCCTGGGCCGAAGGCGGCACTAAACCCCTGAGCCACCCAGGTTGCCCACACATTGGTTTTAGACAAGCCTTGTAAGTCCAAAACTAAGATCAGTTCTCTGGACAGCTCCTGTGTCTTCCCCTCTGTCCTCAGAGAGGTGACCTTGATGGGGTCAATGCCCTTTCCATCCACTTGGTAGGACTCCCACCGGCTTTGTCACGGCTGCAGCTTATATGTATGTACCCGGGCTGTGCATTGCTGGCACCGCAAGGCATTTACTTAGACAAAAATGATTTAAACAAGTGATTGAATCTCTCCTACTATTGTTGAGCACACCTGTATTTATTTCTTTTCTTGTTGGAGTGTTTCCTCTAATGACGTTTTCAAAGACGGGCTCTATGTGAGAAACCTGATCCTTTAAATACCTGATAAATCAGCCAGAAATCAAAATCTAGGTTGAAAGTTCTTTCTCTGTAATACTCGAAAAATATTATGCAACTATCATCTTAAATCCAGCATTGCTGTTAAGAAATCTGAAGTCAGGGATCCCTGGGTGGCGCAACGGTTTGGCGCCTGCCTTTGGCCCAGGGCGCGATCCTGGAGACCCAGGATCGAATCCCACATCAGGCTCCCAGTGCATGGAGCCTGCTTCTCCCTCTGCCTATGTCTCTGCCTCTCTCTCTCTCTGTGTGTGTGTGACTATCATAAATAAATAAAAAATAATAAAAAAAAAGAAATCTGAAGTCAATCTGATTTTTGTTCCTTCCTCAACCTTTTGCTATCTAGATGCCTGGAATACAGATGTGATGGCTGGTGCTTTCATAGCCAGTTTGGATTATGAAGATGAATTGGGGGTGGGGGGGGGCATGACTGGATTGAAACTAGAGTCCTCAGGGTGCCTAGGTGGCTCAGTGGTGGAGCGTCTGCCTTTGGCTCAGGTCGTGATCCCGGGGTTCTGGGATGGAGTCCCGCATCAGGCTCCCCACAGAGAGCCTGCTTCTCCCTCTGCCTATGTCTCTGCCTCTCTCTCTGTACCTCTCATGAATAAATAAAGTCTTAAAAAAAAAAAAGAAAGAAACCTGAGTCCTCAAAGAACTAGTGATACAAAGCTACTCTAATGGCCATGCCATGAACGGTCCACTTCCACACTTCTCCAAAAGGTTAAAATAAACTTACACTGTGTTTGTGAGTCTCTGCTATTTATTAGTAGCTATGATTTGGAGTCTGTGCTATTAGCATCAGAAATGAATCTTAATTCATGTATTATGTAAATCTCCTTTGTCTTAAACTTTCCAAAGTCTGGTCAGTTTTCCCAATGATCGATATTGTCTTGGATATCAGCTACCTTGGCTACATAGAAAGAGGCTTAAGCCTAAATTTTACCTAGTATCCTCCCTCCTGGGGAGTTTAAAGAAGTGGGGGGAGGCAGTGAGGACAGAGGAATTGCCTCTGGCATTACAGTGCAAATTTGGCTACCCCCCAAGTGCCTCTGACCCCCCCAATACTTACCAGGCACCCAGGAAACTTCTGGGCACTCTCCCCTGGCCACTACTCTTCTCATGAGCTGGGTTATGTGGTTGGAATGTCCTGATCCAGGACTGCTTGGGGCTGCCAGGTCTGGTTGTTCTAAGCTTCTAACCCCAGGCTGATGTTACCATTCCTGGCTAGCGCAACTCTTTCCTGCCTCGGAGCACCGTGGCAGTGATGGTGATAAGGCTGGGGCTGAGACGAGGCAATGATCTATCCAAGTCAATGTAGGCAGAGAAAAGCACACGTTCGTTATAAGACATTCACTGAGCCTATCCCCCTCTATAGCACCCAGCTCTCGTGTGCAAGGGGCTGTTGTTGGTTCCCACATTCCATGACTCAACCACCTGCTGCCTCTGAGGAGGTAGGAATGGGGGGAGGGGTGCAGGTTCTCATGGTTTTTACATTCCTTTCTTAATCCTCATCAAGATGTGCTTCTGTGAAAAAAAAAAAAAAAAGATGTGCTTCTGTGGCATCTTCAGGATTATACCCCCAGGAAGAGGCCAGCATCTCAAGTACATGACCATTGTCGGCCATACACTACTTTTCTCATAGCACTGATCACCCATTGAAGCTGTTGTTTATGTGTTTATTTGTTTCTCTCTCTCTACCAGCCCTCATTAGACCAGCCCCTCCATGAAGGTAGGAATCTGGCCTGTTCCCAGCTGTCTCCCTAGCACTGGGCACAGTACACAGCAGAGATGCTCAAGAAATACAGGTTGGGGGCAGCGCGGTGGCTCAGCGGTTTAGCGCCTTCAGCCCAGGGCCTGATCCTGGAGACCCCGATCAAGTCCCACATCCGGCTCCCTGCGTGGAGCCTGCTTCTCCCTCTGCCTGAGTCTCTGCATCTCTCTCTCTCTCTCTCTCTGTGTCTCTCATGAATAAATAAATAAAATCTTTAAAAAAATGTTTTAAAAAAATAAATACAGGTTGAGTGACTGAATCACCCTGATTCTGGCCCAGGGCTTCTTGATGCAAATCTTGGGTTTTTCCCCACCCAAGCCCCTGGATCTCTGCCCCGAGCAAAGACGATACATAGAGGAAAGAGGTTTATATTAACTAGAACTGCAACAAGGATATGGGGTCTTCACTCCAAACATTGGCTAAAACAACTGCTGGATAATCAGGCTTAAAGCAGGGCTGCCTGTATATCTTCAAATCCCCACTGTTTGCACACCGTAAGTGCTCAAAAAAAGGTGTGTTTTATTGAATAGACATACAAATTCTCCAGGAGGAGATATTTCAGCATAATTATAGAGGAAAGGAAATAGGGTAACTGAAGAGCAGATTGGGGGTGATATGGAGGAGAGAGCTGAGCATGAACATGCTCTTGACCCAAAGGAGTCATTGGTCTATCCAGTGTAACAGGGCACAAGAGTTTTGACCAGCACTGTTCAGTGCTGCAGCCACGAACTGCATGCAGCTATTTACACTTAATTAAAAATTAAATCAAATGTAAAATTTAGCTTCTCAGTTGCACTAACCAGATTTCAAGTAATAATAGCCACAGGGAGCTCCTGGCTACTGCATTGGACAGTATAGATAACATATAACGTGTCATCATCAAAGAACGTTGCATTGGACAAAGCTGACCTAGATCCTTGGAATCAACAGAACTTCATCTCTGCTTCTAACCTGGCCTACTGACATCCTCTTGTCACCCTCTACACACCCCCGCCCCCCCAGGTCCCGGTACCATCAGCGCCCCCACCTGCCTTCCTGAGCTTTCTGCTCTACAGGAAGTGATACTGTCCTGGCTTTCACCCCACAGCGCCCTGTGGGTAACAAGTATTTGTTGAAGTAAGGAGCCCTCGATTAGCTTTTGCTAAATGCTTAAGGCCCAAGAGGTGAATTAAGCGACAGGAGAGAAGACATCCCTGCTTCCCCTCTTTTCTCACCACCCTACCCCCCCTCCCCGCACTCCCTTTCCTGGGGCCCCCACCAACACGCCACAGCGGCACAGCTGCAGAAGCTCCAGGGCCCAAGCTACACGGATTCACGGGAGTGTCTGCTCCGCGTGTCCAACCGATCTAACTCGTGAAGGCGTCTTTGTCCCCGCGATGATTTTCCGTCTTCCTTCACCTTTGGCGGCCCTGCTCCTCGTGGGTGCTCACCAAGTGTTCGTTAAATGTATGGATGAAAAAAAATAAATAAATAAAAAATAAAAAAAAAAATAATAAATGTATGGATGAACCGGTGCGTGCACGGAGGGAGGCACAGACGGACGAACGGACGGACGGCTCGGCGACCCGGCGGCCCGGCGGCCCGGCGGCCCGGCGGCGGCCACACCGACCGCGGGAGGGGCCGCCCGCCCCCAGGCCCCCGCGCGGCCCGCGGGCCGGGGGGCGGGCGGGGCTCGGCCCTCGGGGGCGTGTCCTCCGGGCCCGGCGCCGGCGCCCCGAGAGGCGCGCGGCTGGCGCCGCAGGGCCCGGGCGGCCGCGGAGGGCGGGCGGCCGCGAGCATGGAGCGCGAGCTGGAGGAGCTGGCGGCGCGGCCCGCGCTCCCGGCCGAGCCGCCCTTCCAGGCGCTGGTGGAGGCGGCGGGCGGCCGCGGGCAGGTGCTGCTGGTGGGCGAGCTGTGGGAGCGCGAGCAGAGCCGCGCGCTGCTGCGGGACTTCGCCCGGGCCGTGTTCCCGCCCGAGCCGGCCGCGGGCAAGCCGGGCGGCGCGGGGGCCGGGGCGCCGGGGGCGCGGGGGGCGCCGGGGGCGCGGGGGGCGCAGGGGGCGCCCGGGCCGGCGGGGGCGCGCGCCATCCGCTCGCCGCTCGTCTTCGTGCTGTGCCGCGCGTCCTCGCTGACCGCCCGGGAGCCGCGGCGCCGCCTGCGGGAGATGCTGCGGGACGTGCGCGGCCGCCGGCGGGCGGGCGCGGCGCTGGTCGGGGTGCTGGTGGCCGAGGCCGGCCCGGAGGACGCGGCGGCGCCCGGCTTGCGGCTCCTGGAGGCGCTGCTGCGCGCGGTGTTCGGCCGCCAGGCGGGGGGCCCCGTGCAGGCGGCCGCCTACTGCCCCGGCCACCCGGCCTCCAGCCTGGCCGTCCAGGCGGCCGCCTGCAGGGCGCTGCAAGCCGCCGGGCCCGCGCGACCAGGTGAGACCCGGGGCCCCGCAGGGCGCGGGCGGGCGGCGGCTGGGGGAGGCCCCCCAGGCTGGAACTCCTGAGGCCGCAGCTTCCCTCCTCGCGCTCCGCGGTAAACTGAGGCCCCGGGAGGGGAGGTGCCTCGCGCTCGGCCTTCCAGCTAGGGCCGAGCGGGGCCTGGGCACGGGGTCCGCTGTGTTCCGGAAGGATCCGGGGAGCCTACGAGACGCAGGGGCTTGGGAAAGCCGAGCCGACCAGCTCAGGGCAGGAAAGTTGATGGAGAGAGGGTGGGACCGTGCTGGGAGCTGGAGGGAGGCAGAGCAGGTGAGAAAGCCTCTGGAGGCCCAAGTTCCAAGGTGGGAAGGGGAACAGGACAGGGACCAGGGGTTTGGCGGTGCCTGGAGCTGCTAGACGCTGTGCAGCCAGGGATGCGGCGCTGGAGGCTCAGCGTGGAAGCACCACACAGGGTCATAGGGAGAAGATAAGGAATAGATGCCAGGACTTGGAGGTGTGGGGAAAGGGTGTGGGCGACTGAAGGCCCAGAATCCTTCTTGGCCACCCACTCTGGTCGTGCACCCACTGCTGCTCTCCACCTTCTGAAGCGAGGAAGAGGAGAGTGAGGGTCTGTCATCAGCAGAAGTGTCAGAACTCTTCCACCCTGGTGCAGAAGGTTTCACAAGAGCCTTTCCGGATTTTAGGATTAAAATACTGACATTGAGTACAGCTGGATCTGGCAAAGCTGAGAGGAGCAGGATTGCTGTTGCTCTCTCAGATGTCTTCCCGACCCCACCTTCCCAGCACCTGCTGCCGCCCCCCCCCAAGCCCTCCAGCCTCCCATTCTTTTTTTTTTTTATTCATTTATGATAATCACACACACACACAGAGAGAGAGGCGCAGAGACACAGGCAGAGGGAGAAGCAGGCTCCATGCACCGGGAGCCCGACGTGGGACTCTATCCCAAGTCTCCAGGATCGCGCCCTGGGCCAAAGGCAGGCGCCAAACCGCTGCGCCACCCAGGGATCCCCCCAGCCTCCCATTCTAACAGCTAAAGAGTTAAGGAAGGCAGAGACTGTGTTCTGCTCCTCTGAGCATTGGTGTGTTAACCAGAAACTGAGAGATGCCAAGGCTTTCAGGGGGCCTTTTCCAGCAAGGAGACCTGGTACCTCTGACGTCACAAATGCCCCAGAGCTACCAGCTAGCTTGGCCTGCCTGGGTGAAGACCATGCATCTCAGCCCTAGAGCTTGCCCCAACCTATGCATGACCCCCCAACCCCGCCCCATGTCTACAACTTTCTGTTGAGTCTGTGGTAGGAGCTAAACTTGAAACTCTATAACCAGTATCCTGAAAGACATAGGGCATGTCCTGAGGTGGATTGTTATTGTGATTGTTGTTGCCAGCCCTTTCACTGACCCCGCCCTATGAGGGAAAGGAGGGACTTTATTTTTTTATTTTTAGTTTTATTTGTTTTATTTATGATAGTCACACACACACAGAGAGAGAGAGAGGGGCAGAGACACAGGCAGAGGGAGAAGCAGGCTCCATGCACCGGGAGCCCGACGTGGGATTCGATCCCGGGTCTCCAGGATCGCACCCTGGGCCAAAGGCAGGCGCCAAACCACTGCGCCACCCAAGGATCCCAGGAGGGACTTTAATACAACCAGATTTTCTGCTCCTAATGAGCTGGAGCCTAGAAGATTAAGTTCTTAGTCTCTTAGTCCTCCCCCATTCTCTAGGAACAATTTTTTTTTTTAAGATTTTATTTATTTATTTATTTATTTATTTATTTATTTATTTATTTATTTATGAGAGACACAGAAAGAGGCAGAGACACAGGCAGAGGGAGGATAAGTAGGCTCCATGCAAGGAGCCCCATGTGGGACTCAATCCCCGAAATCTGGGATCACGCCCTGAGCCAAAAGCAGCTGCTCAACCGCTGAGCCACCTAGACGTCCCTCTAGGAACAACTTTTAATTCCCCAGAGCCAAGAGTGCCCTCGCCTCCTTGTACACCTTGCAGTTGCCTTGAATAACAACCTGCTTCTCCCTCTTCACCTGACCAATCCTATCAAGAGATTTGGGACTGAACTTCCTCCTCCAGGAAGTCTTCCCTGGCCCTCCCCACTCCCACTTGTAAATTTGGGAGTGAAATCCCAGAACTCTTAACCACCTGGTCTTGTCACTTCCCTTTTGTGTGTTTAACCACCATTATACCCATTTCCCAACACCTTGCCCTGCATGCAGAATCCTTGCCTCCTTTTATATTTTTTTTATTTTTTTTAATTTTTTATTTATTTATGATAGTCACAGAGAGAGAGAGGCAGAGACACAGGCAGAGGGAGAAGCAGGCTCCATGCACCGGGAGCCCAATGTGGGATTCAATCCCGGGACTCCAGGATCGCGCCCTGGGCCAAAGGCAGGCGCCAAACCGCTGTGCCACCCAGGGATCCCTATATTTTTATTTTTAAAAGATTTTTATCTGTTCATTCATGAGAGACACAGAGAGAAAGAGAGAGAGAGAGAGAGAAGCAGAGACACAGGCAGAGGGAGAAATAGGCTCCACGCAGGGAGTCCGACGCGGGATTCGATCCTGGGACTCCAGGATCATGCCCCGGGCTGAAGGCAGGCGCCAAACCACTGAGCCACCCAGGGCTTCCCCCCCTTGCCTCCTTTTAAATACTAACACTTAAGAAATCTTAACACTTTGCAGAGGAATCATTCTCTACTTTTTAAACTCGTTTCTACTTTTATAAAAACATCCTTAAAAAAAAAAACATCCTTAACAACGTGAAACCTTCCATTAATGACCAAAAGTCATGAGTGTAATCATAACTCACTGTCCACTGGTTTCCTCGGGGCTTTTGCAGAGTGGACAGCGCCATGGATTCATGTTGCTAAGGTTTTGCTAGCAACTGCATCTGGCTTTTTAAAGTTTTCCAATCTCTTTCCTCACTGCCTGCTGGCTGTTATACTTTTAGGTTGCCGATCCTTGGCAGTGACATTTTACCTAGTTTATGTGCTTAATCCAGTTGAGGATCCTAATCCTAATCCAACGAAGGATCCAGTTTTATTAGGAGTGGGTGCAAAGTAAGAGTAAATCGGTCCTGAGTGAGGATTTATGAACAGGACATTTTGTGTTCCAGTTGGCCTTATTCCAGAGTTGGGGCTCTCAGATGCTGAGTGGTACTATAATAAGGAAACTAGACTGAACATGTGATTGTTTTATAGTAATTATCAGAAAGATTGAATCTGTTCCCATTGAGAAACAGTTTGAACTAAAGCTCGGGGAAATTTCTGCTCTTTGAGTATAATCTTTGGTGCTGTGTAATTATTACTGGTTTCATGTCATTTTTGTCACTACAGCTTCCCCAACATGGTACCTATATCATAGGGTTTTGTGAGGATAAAGTATAGCAATCTTTTTTCAGGGCAGGGGTCAATTTTGGAAATACAAAAACTCCACCCCCTTCACAAATCAGAATCTTTGTTTTTTGACCCAGACAGTTGAAACTAGGGCAGTTGATAATTGAAGCTCTTGGTTTGCTGAACAGAAAATCTCCCAGTCCTGTCAAACATGCTCACCTGCTGCGTCTGGGACTTTGTGTTCTTTCTAGCAGCAGGACCCTGGGAGAGACCGGGCCTCCCAGCACTGCTGGCATGCTTTTCCTGGGGTCCCTGGAGCCGGGGGAAGGATCCAGATGCCACCTCCCCCAGTGATCCAGCTCAGGGTGAGTGTGCTGCCTTCCTGGCTTACTGGACCCTTGGGACTAGGTGCTTGGGATTCTGGGAGTGGTCATGTGTACACAGGGACCTAAGGGATAGAGTTGACCAATATCCAAGGTGGAACACTTACCGTATACAGGGTGTGGAGGTGAGTGATGTGAGGTGCACTTGTACCAGGCAAAGGGCACACAGCCCCCCAGCAGGGCTCTAGCCCCATGGGTCTCTCACCAAGGAGGGCAGCTGGTGTGGGCAGGTCTGGAATGCAGGTGTCTGCCCCATGCACGCCCCATGCACAGTGGGGTGCTTGACACCAGAGCATTCCATCCTCTTTGGGGATCCAGGGAGTATCAGGAACAAGTGACATTGGAGCTAGGGGCTGGAAAATGGGAAGACTTGGAGAGGAAGTGGTATGAACGAAGGCTTGGCGGTGGCATGGTGTCACACTTGGAGAAGGAGCCCCTGTCCGGAGTGCGGGGGTTGAGGTACAGGAGACTGGTAGGGCTGCGGCTGAGGAGGAGAGTTGGGACCAAACCAGGACCCTGGATCCAAGTCTTTCCAGAATAGTGAACTGTTGGCCATTTCTGAGCAGGGGTGACCATATTGGGAGCATTTTGGAGAGGTGACAAGGCAGGGAGAGACAAGAGGCAGAGCCAGTGAGGAGGGCACTGTGTAGTCCCAGGAGGAACAACAGGCAGCCTGGACCCAACGCTGGCAGTCTAGAAACAGAGAGGCAGGAACTTAGCTGGAAACCATTTTTAGGGGAGGATTGTCAGGCTACTAAAGGGAGAAGCAGGGGAAAGACAGTTGTTCGAAGTCCACAGGAGCACCCAGTAGGCATTGAGGCTGTTGTGACAGAGATAGGGAGCCCTGGGGGAGTAAGTTGTAACCTGCTAAACGTGTGTGGCCCACACCCCCAAAGTGTACGGAACAGTACAGCTCTGTCACAGAAACAACGGGCAGTGTTTTAAAACAAACCTTTATTGTGTCCCTTATGTTCACAAAAATCATTAGGCGAGGTGTCAGCCTTCCCTCGGCACAGAACACGTTACTACAAACTCAGCGGCTTAAAACAACACCCGTTAATTCCTCTGGATTTCCGTGGGTCAGGAGTCCGGGCAGGGCTTAGCCGGGCCTTCTGTTCAGGGGCTCCCAAGGCCGCATTCCTTCCTGGAGCGAGTCCTGCAGGCTCACGTGGCTGTGGGTAGAGCGCTTCTTCGCTGCCTTCCCGGTGGCTGTCAGCTGGGCCTGTGCCCGCTCTCATGGCCAGCCCTCCGCACGCTCTCAACACAGCAACGGCTTCTTCAATTAGCAGGAGACTTGGTGGTCTCCTACAGTGTCAGCCACAGGAGTGACTCACTTTTGTCATATATGGTACCTGAATCAAGGGAGTGACTATCCCATCATATTCACAGGTCCCATCCACACTGGAAGGAGGCGATTATACAGGATGAGTACGCCAAGGGGTGGAAATCTTAGGGGCATCTTAGAATTCAGCCTATCACAGGTGAAAGCTCAAGAAATTTGAAAAAGGAGAAAAAATATTAAAATCATTTGCTTAATTCCGTCACTCAAAAAACTATCATCTGTATTTTGGCACAGGTCATTCTGTCCCTCTGTTTTTCTATGTAGCTCCTTGTGCTACTTAAATTGTAATAAATACACTTGTAGGGGCACCTGGGTGGCTCAGCAGTTGAGCATCTGCCGTTGACTCAGGTTGTGATGCCAGGGTCCTGGGATCGAGTCCTACATTGGGTTCCTTGCAGGAAGCCTGCTTCTCCCTCTCTGCCTATATCTCTGCCTCTATCTCTCTCTCTCATAAATAAATAAATAAGAATCTTTAATAAATAAATAAATACACTTCTATATAATGCATGAGTCATCTGTGAAATGTGTCAGATATTTAAAATATTCAATTGCAAAAATGTTAACTTCAATCTCTCCATCATCATTTTGGATATTTCTGGAAACCGAAGGGAAAAAAATAATAAAGTAAAGGAATCTTAAACAATATTTTAAAAAGATTGTATTTATTTATTCCACAGAGAGAGAGACAGAGAGCAGGCACAAGCAGGGGGAATGGCAGAGGGAGAGGGAGAAGTAGGCTCTCTATTGATCAGGGAGCCTGAGGTAGGGCTCCATCCCAGGACCCCAAGAACTGAGCTGAAGGCAGCCGCCTAACAGCTGAGCTACCCAGACTCCCCAGAATCATAAAAAATTTTGCATAAATCTTGGATAACTTCCCTCTCTGTAGTATATACCCAATTTTTCAAAGGTTTTATTTATTTATTCTCTACTTTGAGTCCCCAGGTGGGACTCAAACTCACAACCCTGAGATCAAGAGTTGTATGCTCTTTGGACCAATACAGCTAGGTGCCCCTGTAGCATGTAACAAATTATTTACTCCAGTAGAAGGGAATGTATTAAAATTGCATTCATGGACTATGCATATGCATCCATAACATATAATAAATAATAGGATCATACGTACAGACATTTATATATACTGTTTTTTTTTTCTTTCTTTCTTTTTTTATATATACTGTTTTGGAATCTACTTCCTTCACAGTAACATTGTGAGTGTGCAATACTCCACGGCAGTAATTACATACCAATAACATCTTTACTCTTTGGGGGGAATGGTAGGTAATTGTAGATTCGCATGCAGTTGTAGGAAATCATACCAAGAGATCCTGTGTACATTTGCCCCAGTTTCCTCCAATAGTAGCATCTTGCAAAACTGTAGGATAATATCACAACTGGGATATTGACATTGAAACAACCCACAGATCTTGTTAAGATTCCCCCAGTTTTACTTGAATTAGTGTGTGTGTGTGTGTGTGTGTGTGTGTGTGTTTAGTCCTACAGAATTTTATGTGTCTTTTTAAAAGATATATTTTATTTATTTGAGAGAGAGTGTGAATGAGTAGAGGCTGGGGGCAGAAGGAGAGGGAGAAGCTGACTCTCCACTGAGCAGGGATTATGCATCATTTTTAATGCTTGACTCCCACCATGTGGGTGAGTCATTCAGTCCTTTCATTGGACACTAAATTGGTTAGGATGCTTCTAGCTGCAGGTGGAGAAACCATGACTCCAGCTGGCATAGAGGCAAAAGCATTCAGTATCTCACCTAAAAGATACTCTAGAGGAAGAGTCAGCTTCAGAGCTGATTGATTCAGGAGCCCAGTGACCCCATCGGGGACCCAGGTTCTTCTCTCTGCTGGGCTACCCTTAGTGTCGTTTCATCTGGGCTGGAAGTCAGGTGGCTGTAGCAGTTCCACTAATTATTCCTAATTATTTCCTTAGGATAAAATCCTAGAAGTGGAATTGGTGGGTCAAAGGGTATGTACATTTTTAAGGTTTTTGATTTGTATTTTACTGTGGTTTTTCAGTAGATATTGACTGGGGCCAACTTCCTCCCTTTCATTCCTAGCTTACTCCCTCATGAACTTGACTTCTGATTGATTCCTTCCCTTGTGTTTCAGATCATCTCCAGGATCCTGAGGAGGAGATGTCACTGACAGCTATATGTCCCAACGGAGACTGTGAGGACCCTGGGAAGGGGTCGAGAGCCTGTGATGGACTTGTCCATACTCCTGCTGAGCCCACTGGAGACCCGAGATGAAGGCTGGGCTCCTGGGCTACCCTCACTCTAACCTGCACACTGGGGACTGGCTCTTTCTCACCGAGTTCCCTTGCCTCTATGTTGACCTTGGAATGTTGTAACTACACAGAGGCCCCACCTGTCAGGGGCTGCTGCATTGAACCAGCTAGGGAAACTTACTTTCCTGGAACCTGCCCCCCACCTCATATTTGCTCACTCTCTGATCACAGTGAGGTTATTTGGTCTTTCTGGACCTCGGTCTTTCTATACCATTGGGACAGATGGCTGTCTACTTTGAGGTTTCATGGTGCTGTGGCAGCGCATGGTGTGTTGGCATGAGCATCCATCATTTCAAGTGCAACTGGAAAGAACTCTGGATCAGCTGTCATCAGATCAGGAAAGGGTGGGGAGCTTAGACCTGTCATTGAACCTTTGGGGCTTCTGTTTCATACACTTGAGGGACTATGAGCCCAGGGGCTCTCAACCCAGGGCCAGACTGCCGCTCCAGGTAGCCCTGGAAGCTTGTGTATGCATGTGTGAGTTTGAAAGTATAAGTGTGTGTGTGTGTGTTTGTGTGTGTATTGGGAGGAGGGTTACTGTGACTGTGAGGTGCTCCTGGAACTTAGTGAGCTTCTCACAACGTACAGGACAGACTCCAACAGCAAAGACTTATTCCACCCAAATTGCCCATCATGGCACCTTTGAGAAACTCTGGATGAGCCAATCTCTTCTCTCCGAAATTCTAGGAAGTCCCCATCCCCCACCCCAGCAGAGAGGGTTGGGCTTCCTGAGATCTTGGCTGCCAGAGCAAGCTGGAATAAAAGACTGCACTGCTGCCCTGGGGACCTATTGGGTCAAAGCCAAGACATCCACATGCTCTGCATGGCCTCTTTCTTCCTCATGTTGACATTGACTTTCTGTGCCAAATCCTTTGAGAATAAGGATCCTGGGAACTGCCTCCGGCACCAAACAAGAAAGGTAGGGGTATGGATTATAAGGATGTGGGCCTTTATCTCAATCTCAGGCCCTTGTCCAAGGTCAAAGCAGACCCAACCCAGAAGTGCCAAGTTCCTGAATCCTTTTTTCTCTGTTTATGAGTCAGACAGGGTCGATGATATATTCCCTTAAAAACCAGGAAAGCCATCTGTTCACTTATAGAAGGAATTCTGCATTACCTCTCTTGCCTTCCTCTCCTACCCCTGGAGAAATGCGGTCTTTGGAATGGCAAGAGCAGCTCCTGATTTTCCTTGGTAGGAAGTACTGTCTAAGGGAAGTAGCTAGATTCATTCATTAGTGCATGATTTGCTCAGCGGACATGCAGTTGGGCTACTATCTACCCAGGATTCTATAAGGTGCTGCATACCTTCCAGTAGTTATGTTGGCTTTCATCTCTGATACCAAAATGTGGAATTGGAAACCTGTGGCTGAGGGGCCATGTGATATCAAGGAGGGTCCCTCCTGGCTCTGTGCTTCAATTTATTCTTCATAATATGCAGCCTGGTTCTATCCTTTCTCTGCCTGGTGGGGATAGTGTGAAGGCAGGCAGGGTGACATCTTATTTGGGGTTGGTTAGTAGCAGGTGTCATTCTAATAATGCAAGGCTGTCTTACCAATAGGTAGACCTGGCTGACCTCCTACACATGAATGAGCTCAAAGAATTACCACTGATTTTGTTTTAAAATGGGGAAACTGGTATTTTTGAAGCTGCTATATTTTTCTATTTCTCTGTTAATTTCTTTGTAATAATTGGGTTGGAGTCTTATTATTTGGTGGGGGGAGGGAGCTTTTATTAAGGTAGGAAATTATATAAGGCAGAAGTTATAAGGCACAGTCTCTGCTGTGTTTAAAATCCTTTTGTATTTGTTGCCAGTATTTGAAACTTGAGAGATTGCGTGTTAAAAAAGCTGGTTTTCTGGGTGGAGGATGGGGCATGCCATTAAGTCTGGTTTGCTGTAATCCCCCTGCCCTGGAACCCTCCTCCCACCCATCTAATCCACCCCACCACTGTACTTCACTCATCTATGCCACCTGCCTGGTCCTGGTGGACATTTGAGTTTACAAACCTGTGGCATAAAGTGTGGTATACATATTTTCCATTACTATCAGTTTCTCTGGTGACTAGTTGAAGAGAGAAGGTCTTTACTGAGATTTGTGTTCTGCTTCCCAACTGGGAAACATGGGACTGAGATACTTTGGGACCCAGGTTGGCTTTTTCGACACATGGCAAAGATAACCATGATCTTTTTAGGAATAATCTGGTTGATTTTTTTTAGCAGACAGAAGAGTTAGGTGCTGGAAGGGATGACCTTGGTGGTAGGTCTCTTCCCCAAGGACTCTCAGAAGGCATGAAGATTGGGGTGCCTCCAGGCAAGTCACAGTCGGGGCTGGTGCATATTAATCCTTCTAACATGGCAGTAGTTGTGCTGCTTCTGACTTGGATCAATAATTCCTTGTGTCTAATAAAACCGAATAGTACCTCATTGCTGTCAAATCAAACCAGAATGGATCTTCCCCTTTATTCCCATAAAGTGTAACCTGCAGGGGTCCTTGGGAACAGGGTGCCTGGGCAAAAGGCAGGAACTTCTGGAATAGTTTGGCCTAAAGGACTTCCAGTCCTGCCCTGGGTGACATCTCCACAACTCTATTGGCTGGAATGGGAAAACATGTAGCTCGAAAGTAAATGTTGAAAAGAGATTTTTTTCAAAGATAGCTTTTAACTTGGTGTTTAAGAGGATGTGTGTGTTTGTGCGCACACGGACGAGCACGTTTAACGAGATAAAATGGCCTTGCCTAAGTCTCAGAGGGCCCTTAATAATATTTGTCTCATGTCTCTCTCAAAGTATTTGTCTCCAAGATTGACCACACAAGAGGAGTCCTTTGGTTGTCAAACCAGGAACAGGGCAAACCTGCAAAAGGGCCAAGCGCCAAGGCCCCCAAACCTGTGTGCTCTAAACCAGCCCCCCTTGTCCCAGACAAAGAACCCAGGATGCAAGCTCGGAAAAGGCGATGACCGCCTTATTAATCTGATGGCAGTCTACCCTTCAAAGGTACCACGCCGCGGGGCTGGTTCCCTGTGGCTGGGAGGCCTGCACTTTGTCCTGTTTGAATGGCAAACATTACCAGGGTGGTGAAGAGAGTCTTTTGTTTTGTACCCAAGGGCTGCACAACCCCCTTCTGACCTGGTTTTGTGTGTTAGTGGATCAAGGATTGGGACAGACCTTAGCTTGTGTAATCTTAGAGTTCAAAGGAAACCAGGTTCCAGGCAGGGTGGCTGACCAGGATCCTGCATGAATTCCTCAGATGCCTTCGGCCCCGGAGCCAGAGTACTCTGGTTGTGTTGTACCTGGAGCTGCCTAATTGGGAGCAAAAACAGAGGCTACCCTCTGGGCCATGCTGTGGTTCATGGTCCAAAGGGACCACGGTGTGGAATTGGTCAGGTCCAGAGTCGGCCCTGGGCACCAGGGTCGCTGTGCGTCCAGGGCTTTGGCAAGGGCAAGAGCCCTGTCTGGCTTCCTCCCTGAGCTCCCCAGCCAGCATTCCTGCTGCGGGTGCAGACCCAAGCCTGACTGGTGAAATTCAGAGACCCTCAGGTAGGAGTTCAGATGATCAGTCATAAGTCAGGCTTGTTCTGCTCTGCACATATTTGGAGCTTAGTCCTTGTGACCAAGCCCTCATTTGGAGTCCTGATTTCCAGGTCTCTTGTCTGGCTGCCCTGTGTTTCTTCTTTCCTTCACTGGTTAATGAGGCCTTCTCAGATCATTACCTCAACTCCAGACTACCCTAACCACCTGCCATCCCACGTATACTGCCCACTCCAGGACCCCTGGCTACCAGAGCAGCCACTTCAAGCCCCTTGCTTCCTGGCAGGAGGGGGTCTCACTGTTAGCCTCTGCTCCTCAGTCTCATCTGGTTCTTTGGTTCTTCACGTGCCAGCACCAAAGAGCAGGGCCAGACCTGAATGGGGAGGTCAGAGGGAACAAGGCCTCTGGGTAGGTCTAGACCGGCCCTAAGAGAAATCTAACATCAGGCATATATATAGGTTTAAATTTTCAAGTAGCCACATTAGAAAAAAATAATAAAACCAATGAGATGTAATTATTTTATTTAGCCCAGTATGTCCAAAATAGATAATACTTCAACTTAAATATACAAAAATTTTTAATGTGGGCAGCCCGGGTGGCTCAGAGGTTTAGCGCCGCCTTCAGCCCAGGGTGGGGTCCTGGAGACTGGTGATCGAGTCCCATGTCAGGCTCCCTGCATGGAGCCTGCTTCTCCCTCTGCCTGTGTCTCTGCCTCTCTCTCTCTCTCTCTCTCTCTCTCTCTCTCTCTGTCTCTCATGAATAAATAAATGAAATCTTTTTTTTAAAAAATTTTTATGAGACATTTTGCATCTTTGAAATCCTGTGAGACTTTTACCATAACAGCCTAATTCAGACACTACATTTTTATCCAAAATATTTGATCTGTATTTAGATTCCATGAAATTGGTAGTTGTAAAAACATTCATATCTCGAGTTGTTCCAAATATACTTGAAAAGCTTCCCAATAGCTGAATTGGGGACCAGTCTTTAAATTTCAATGAAATAAAAAAAATTTTTTTGGAAAGATTTTATTTATTTATTCCGGAGAGACACATAGAAACAGGTAGAGACATGGAGGGAGAAAAAGGCTCCCTGCGGGGACCCCCATACGGGACTCCATCCTAGGCCCCCAGGGTCAACTACCTGAGCCAACGGCAGACGCCCAACCATTGAGCCACCCAGGTGCTCCGAATTTAAAAATCAGTTCCAGGGGTGCAATAGCCACACTTCGAGTGTTCAGTAGCACCTGTTGTTAGTGGGTACCAGACGTGAAAGAATGAGTCTGTAACAGTGGAAAAGTGGGGGAGACCTGTCTTGAGGGTTCCATGTGGCTCTTCCCACCCCCCAGGCCCCCAGCAAGGAAAGGGCAGTGGCTTCCAGCATCCACGTGTCAGCTTTGCGGTTGCCCACGGCAGGAGTTGTCCTCCTGGACATGAACCCTAGAAAGAAGTGAGTCCAGCATCTCAGATGGCTTTGAGGGTCCCTTTGTGCCTCAGTCCACCCAGGGCGATTCTGCCCCCACCCAGGCGTTTCCCTCCCACCAAGCTCCCCTCCACCAGGCTTCCGGCCGGCAGCAGGCCCGCGTCACCTGCTGCCTTTGCGTTTCTGCAAATGAAAGCAAATGCTTTCACTCTAATAGCAGGTGTCCTGCTTGGTGTACCTGAAGCAGCCACCTGCCTCGGGGCCAGGCCCCGGGACGTAAGATCTGCGGTTTATAGAGCGCGGCTCTAAGCCAAACCCGGGTTAGAGCACCTCGCCTCACCTGCGCGTCCTCCACGCCCGGGCTCGGGCGGCCGCACAGCGCCGCCAAGTGGCAAAGCAGGGGTTTGATCCCGTGTTTCCCGGCTCCGACGCCGCCTGCCCTTATCAACTGATAACGCTGCAGCTCAAAAAGCTGTCAAGCCGGATTCTCGGCGGAAGCGAGCCGTCCTCAGACCCAGGATTCAAACGCCAGGAGGCCGGCCCTTGCGGGTGGGAGTGCGGGGCGGGGGCGCTCGCCCCTTGCGGGGGAGCCCTGTGGCCACTAGGGGCGCCGCGCGGGGGAGGGGGCTGCTAGGGCAGAGCTTAGCCCTCGCGGGCTCTACGAGGCCCGGCCCGGCCAGTACCTGTGTGAGCCCACACATGACCTTGCTTGGGCTTTGAGGGCTTTTGTGTCACTCCTAAATTTGGAGGGAGAGAGTTGTTGATGAACAGAGCACTGGGTAGGAATTGTTTTGGTGATTTTGGTATGTCCTCAGTCTTGGTGTTTGTTTGTTTGTTTGTTTGTTTGTTTGTTTAAGATTTTATTTATTCATGAGAGGCACAGAGAGACAGAAAGGCAGAGACACAGGCAGAGGGAGAAGCAGGCTCCCCACGGAGACCCCGATGCAGGACTCGATCCCGGGACTCCGGGATCATGCCCTGAGCCAAAGGCAGGTGCCCAGTGGTTGAGCCAAAGGCAGTGCTCAACCACTGAGCCATCCAGGTGCTCCTCCATCTTCTTTGAAGATACAAATATCTCATGATAAAATCTTGGAGATTGGCAAGGGTTTTAGAGATAGGCGCGAGTTCTGGCACTGTGCCAAAAACTGACCCTGCATTCATCCAACAAACATTTATTGAGTACCTACTGTGTGCCTAACACTGTGCTAGTTACTATGGGGGATAATGAGATGAATAAGATGTGGCTCACGCCCTTGAGAAGTTCCTGGTCTAGCTGGGACATGGGCAGGGAGACTGGATAATAACTGTGTGGGGCTAACAGCTATAAGGCAACACGTAGTGGGGTGGTTAAGAAAGGCCTACCTGGAAGAGGAACTGCTTGTTAGCTGAGGAGGAGATGGAGAGGCAGGCAAAGGGAAGAGCAAGTCCCAAGGTCAGAGATAAGGTTTATGCTGCACGGCCACTCTGGGAGCCACAGCAGTTCCAGGTGCCTGGAGCCTGGCATGCCAAGGCAGAGTGCTGGGACATAAAGATTGGGCATAAGCTGGGTTGGGTGAAAGTCTTGGAGGAGAGAGTCCTTGTCTTCCTTGTTTTGTGTGTGTGTGTGTGTGTGTGTGTGTGTGTGTAAATATTTATTTATTTATTCATGAGAGACACAGAGGCAGAAACACAGGCAGAGGGAGAAGTAGGCTCCATGCAGGGAGCCTGATACAGGACTCGATCCTGGGATTCCAGGATCATGCCCTGGGCCAAAGGCAGGCACTAAACCGCTGAGCCACCCAGGGATCCCCTCTCCCTTGGTCTTGATGGTGCCTCTGGCTGGCTGTGAAGGATGGACTGGAGAATCATGAGATGGTGAGCAGGAAGTCAAAGCAGTTTCAGCCAGTAAAGAAGAGGGGGAGCCGAGACTGCTGGGAAATGGAGCCAGGCTGATGCGGGAGACATCAGGTAGACCAGATCTGGTACAGACAGGGTGAGTGGGAATGAACCGTCAAGTGTGCTTCCCTGCCCCTGCCCCAGGGCTCTGTGTCATAGCTGTTGGGTACCCTTCACCACACCCAGATCAAGGAAGGGGACATGTATGGAACTTTGAGGTTGTTGAGTTAAGGAGTATCAAACAGGGACATATGGTAAGTGTGTGAGTCTGGTGCTCCAGAGAGAGGATGGGGCCACAATGATATGTTTTAGGAGACACTACTTTGTAGCAATGGGAGGCATTGATCTCTCACAGGGAGAATTCGGAGTGAGACAAAGGCTTTGGACAGAAAATCAGAAGAATAAAGCATAGGAATAGAGCCCAGGGGACACCTGCGTGACCCAGTGGTTGAGCATCTGCCTTAGACTCAGGTCGTGATCTTGGGGTCCTGGGATTGAGTCCCTGCAGGGAGCCTGCTTCTCCTTCTTGCCTATGTCTCTGATGAATAAATAAATCTTAAAAAAAAAAAAAAAAAGAATAGAGCCCAAGATGAGGGCTGAGAGTTTCAAGGAGCAGAGGCAATGGTGAGAGTTGAGTGTTGAAACGATCGCTGTAACTACAGAGTACAAAATTACACAGAGAAGAAGAGACCTCAGGCCCGGAACATCCATCCAAGTGGAAGAGCAGAATCCTCAAGAAGAGAGGAGCCCCCTCCCAGGGTTCCCATGGGGCTTTGTGGAAATTAAAAGCACAATCTCCAAGCCAGAGACATGATCGGCCTCTCATAGAGAAGGCCTTCTCTTTGAAGAGCAGATGTGGCAACTGGCTTTCTCTTGCTTTAAAACATTTTGAATTAATTGTCAACACTATTTATTTGTTTGTTTGTTTAGGTGGGGAGGGGGAGGAGGAGAGGGAAAGAGAGAATTTTAAGCAGGCTCCATGCCCAGGACAGAGCCTGATGCAGGGCTTGATCCCATGACCCTGAGATCATGACCTGAGCCAAAATCAAGAGTCGGACACAAGCAACTGAGCCACCCAAGCCCCCCCCCCCCCACCTTTTTTAAATTGAGATCTAATTGACACATAACATTGTGTTGGTTTTAGGTGTATGACATGGTGACTTGGGTATATGTATATATTGGAAAATGATTACCACAGTAAGTTTAGTTAACATCCATCACTCATCATCACAATTTTCTTCTTGTGATTAGAATTTTTTTTAAAAAGATTTTATTTATTTATTCATGATAGACAGAGAGAGAGAGGCAGAGACACAGGCAGAGGGAGAAGCAGTCTCCATGCAGGGAGCCTGACGCGGGACTCGATCCCGGGACTCCAGGATTGTGCCCTGGGCCAAAGGCGGGTGCTAAATTGCTGAGCCACCCAGGGATCCCCCGTGACTAGAACTTTTAAGACTTGGGGCACCTGGGTGAGTTAGTTAAGCATCCAACTCTTGAATTTGGCTCAGGTCATGGTCTTGGGTCATCAAATAAATCTTAAAAAAAAAGAACTTTTATACTTTCTCGCTTAGCAACTTTCATGTATACAATACAATATTATTACCTGTAATCACATTACATCCCCAGGACCTTTTTTTTAAATATTTTTTTAATTTTTATTTATTTATGATAGGCACACAGTGAGAGAGAGAGAGAGAGAGGCAGAGACACAGGCAGAGGGAGAAGCAGGCTCCATGCACCGGGAGCCCGACGTGGGATTCAATCCCGGGTCTCCAGGACTGCGCCCTGGGCCAAAGGCAGGCGCCAAACCACTGCGCCACCCAGGGATCCCCCCTTTTTTTTTAAATTGGAGTACAGGTGAAACACAATTATACATTAGTATTAGATGAACAGAACTATTTATCTTACAACTGGAAGTTTATACCTTTTGACTACCTTCACCCATTTCATCCAAGTTACCACCATTTAAAATTCAGAAGATTTCACATGAAATTCTGATTTCTGGCTTTTCTAGAAAAAACCATAAGCTTTCACAATTGTAGTCCTACATTTTTTTTTTTTTTTTTGTTAGTGAGCTGGTGGTCAGGGAAGTAGAGGGAGAGAGTCTCAAGGGGGCTCCATGCTCAGAGTGGAGCCTGATGTAGGGTTCGACCTCATAACCCAGACATCATGACCTCAGTCAAAACCAAGAGTGAGATGCTTAACTGACTGGGCCATCCACGTGACCTAGTAGTCCTAGAAGTCTTGCACAGCAACGCTGCAGAAGAGGAGTAGCCACCACTCTTTCAGTGGGGCACTCATTCTTCATTTTTTAAAAAAGATTATTTATTCATGAGAGGCAGAGAGACAGAGGCAGAGACACAGGCAGAGGAAGAAGCAGACTCCATGCAGGGAGCCCGATGTGGGACTCGATCCCAAATCTCCAGGATTACGCTGTGGGCGGAAGGCAGCGCCAAACCGCTGAGCCACCCAGGCTGCCCTCATTCTTCATTTTGGCACAGTCACCACCACCCCCTCCTGCCTCCCTGACACTTAGTTGGC